GCTGTGTTTTCCTGCCATAAGCAGAGCAAGAGTTAATTCTTATTTTTGTTGAAGTACTAAGTGGGAAGCTAGGTCATGCATAAATCCTCATTGTGCTAGGTGCTGTACAAGCAACGAATAAAAATGATCCCAGGCTCAAGGATTCTCTGTTAGTAGCTTGTGTCATAATTAAATTTTGTTAGGACACTTTAGAATTTCCCTTCCTCATAAATGAAATATCCATATACATTTATATCTCTATAATAAAAGACAAAATCTGTACACTTTTATTGTGGATGATAAAAAAAGAAAATATAACACTATTTTCCAAGTAACTTGGATATAGGAATTGGAATATGTGAGGGTGAGGGAAAAGATCTGTTTCTTGTATACTTCTGGGTTATACACACCTAAAGTTGTCCACTTCATACAGAAAGGAAGAAGTATTTGTTATAAAAATAGTCTCACATGGAGCACACTGAATTCAGGTGGAGAGCACAGAGCAGGAGCTGGTGCCCTTTAAAGAATCAAATATTGTGTCTTCATGAATAAAGCTCTGACAGTAAAGATAAGAGAAGAAAATACAGGAACCATGTGATATATTAGCGGAATGTTTTACAAAGTCCCCCACAAAGCATCCGCTGCGCTTGAAAAGCCTAACCAGCCCAAGTGAGAAACTATTCACAAATTTAGTATTCAGATTACATACTCTGCCTTTTCAACTGCTCTCTGTACAATGAATGCCTGTACAACTACAGTAACAGACACAGATCTACAGTTTCTGTGGCCTTTGAGCTAATATGAGTATTATGCGTCTCCATAAATTACATCTGCATGTCCTGAAAATACCAACTGTTTTAATAGGAATTAATCTATAGGCTTTTATCTTGGTGAAATACAGGGGGTACAGTATGTTGCATCCCTTTTAAAATTAATAGAGTATGCTCAGAAGGTATTCAAGGATGTTCGTTATTTTCTTTATAGGTCCATTAATTGATACATATAAGCATAAAACAGTGCTTCCTTGTAGGCAAGAGGAGGAGATGGAATAACAAATAGATTAGTGCTTATATGGTTTTTAGATTGCCCAACGCACAGTTAAGTAAAGAAAGGTCTGTGTTTGTCCTCTCCAAAGTATATTGGGACTGGATCCAGTTTGTCTTCAAAGTGCCCCTTCTATGGGAAGGGAAGAGAGTGCTCAGTCCAACAGCAAGAGAGCTGATGCAGGGGTCTGCTGCTCTGCCATGCTCAGTGCTGTCCAAGGCAACAGTGTGGCACATCAGTCTTTTTTAATTTGCTAAGTGTACATAAGGCTGGAGCTTACGCCGTGCTGAGCTACTATTTACGTGAATACCAAATAGAAAGTTTTGGGAGTGAACTCCTAGAGCACCTTGACCTTGTACAGGCATATAAAAAAACGGGGAATTAGAAACTTTAAACCAGAATTTACATAAAAAGCATGATGGAAGTTTTGAATAACAATTCTCACACGTGCATGTGCATATACACACACATATTTATGGGTTAAATGGTTAAATATTTAGCTGAAAGCAGGCTGAGCCTATCAAACCTATCAAAGCACATTGCTGTCAAATGATGAGAAATTAAACTCTCCTGTCAGACCCGGGAGCTCTGTTATCTCCAGCACACAGGAGGGGAACCAAGGCTCGGGGAGACTGAGCAAATGCCAAGGAGGACATCAGAGCTCTTGAGTAGGTGGCTCCTGGCACAGCCTCTGATCCTGGGGACAGCCAGACTTGTGTGGCAGGACACTGTCCCAGGGCAGGCAGGGCTGAGGTCCTGTGGATGGCAATGGAAAGGGGCTCCCAGGAGCTCCAGGAATGGCTCTTTCAGAGGGGTGCCAGAGGGACCTCTGTAATGTGGTAAAGCTGAGAACTGCTCTTGGGACCCTGCTCGGCAGAAGAGAAGCTCTCAGTGCATTAACTGCTGTTTCAGAAATGCAGAGCTGAAAAATGCAGGGCAATAATGGCTTGGCCAAAATCATGTGGAGGACCTCTGGTCACTGTTGGATGTGAATCTGGCTCTCTTGATCCCCAAGCCATCACTTGATCAAGATCACCACAGCAGCTCTGCTGAGCTGGGCAATGTAAATCACTGTGGAGCTCTTGCTAGAGCCCAGAGCCAAGGTCTGCCTTGAAACAGTGATTCAGCCCCGTGTTGCTGTAGTGAGGATGTGCTCATCTCCGCAGCCCTTGGAGTTAGCTGATTTACAAAGCCAAGTCCTGTCACTTTATTCCCTTCCCTGTACTTTCCCCTTGGTCACTCCTCCTTGTTTTCAGATCTTCATTTGGTTTCAAAGGCTTGCAGAGCAGCAGGATTAAAAAAAAACCCCAGAAAATATTTACTGTAGGGGATGGGTCTGGATTTTCCCATCAGCTTCCATGGCTCAGGCAGGTTCCAGGAGCTTTGGGAGAAAAGCTGTTAGCTATTAAGTTATTACCTGCATGGAGAGCCAGCTGGAAGCTTTCAGTTTTCAACATTTTGATGAAAAGCACCATAAAAATCTTGACAACAAGACTTGTAGCATTTCAATGACATGTTTTGCATTTGTCCCTGCTTTTAATGGTCTGTAAAAGTGATCAAAGGCTTCAAAATGCTGCCGAGACCCATATCTCAGGAATTTTTACCCCCCAAAATGAAGAGGGAAAGGGGGGTGGGGGGGGGGGGGGGAGGAAGACAAACTCCAAGTGTGTGCTGTTGAGTGAATTCATTTGGACAGCTTTTGGGAAGTCACTTTCCATCTGGAGGAGAGTGTCCACAAGGAGAGTTATTCCGGCATAAACTGTTACGGTATAATTACCCAGCTCCAGCTATGCCAGTCTATTTTCTGGTGTAGGCAAGCCAAGTCTAGTTGTTGATACGTAGGCGTGGGAAACACGAAGTCTGCTTTCTAGGCTCAGCTCTGAGTGCTCTCTGTGGCCAGTCCCCTGACCTTTCTGCCTTCTTCCTATGCAAAATGAAAAGAGTTAAGTTAAACCCACTTCACAGATGTGGCATAATGACTAATTGGCTCAAATTTGTGGTGTTGGGGAGAGAGCTGTCAATTAACTTTAGTGTCTTGGGCTGGCTGAATCATTTAGTGTCTTTTCCAAAGTGGGGTTTGTCTCCCTCTCTCAGGGTTGGGTGGCTCTGCTGCTGTTCTACAGAGCAGAATCTCATCTGATGTGAAGTGGCAGTGCTAATAAAACCTGGGGTTTAGCTTGTCTCTAGCAATGGTAGACACACTGCTTGTGTGCAGTGACAGCAAGAGTTAAGGCTTTTGCTTCAAGATTTTGTAGTTCAGACTTTGCCTCAAAGCAAATTTTTCCAGTACCTAGAGCCTTTAATATACAAAGAATGTGGGTATGCAGTGATGATGGTACTTCCATCAGTGTTTGTCTGAAACTCAGTGGCAAAATACACGTGTTACTCTCCTTTGGTACCAACGAAAATCAAGGATCGCTCTTCCATTATTCCCATCAGTTTCTCTGTTGGCTCAAAAGGCTCAAGGGTGTATGGGCAGCCTGAATCCCGATGATTTCTAGTGCTCACTTGTTTAATTTTGCACATTGAAATTTCATGTCCATGCATATCATGCATGATAGACACAACCTCAGCTTCTCCATGGGCCGTGAACTCTGGCGCCTAATGATGGTATTACCAGGGTCACCAGCCCCAGCAGTTCAAAAAGAGAGCAGGACAATGCTGCTGCACCTGATCCAGGACCTGTGGAAAGCAGGGAAAACTTCTGTGAGGAAGCACATCAAGCATTCACCCTCAGACAACTCGGGGGGGTTTGGGTCAAGCCCCGGAGTGGGTCTGTGGGGGTTTCTCTTCGGTGTGGGGATGTGCCCTCGCTGTGGGAAATACTCGGGGCCGCTCCTTCACCCTCGGCTGCAGAGAAGCGCGAGGATTTCCCTCAGGTCAACAATGCCCATTTTTACACTTTTCCCAGCACACCAACTTCTCGGGAGCTGCGTGGGACAGCACGCCGAGGTTTTACTTGCAGCCGGACCGTCTCTACGCGGGAACTCCACTCATAGCGGCCGTGAATGTTTAATTAAGCGACAAGCCCGGCCGCCCCCCGGCCGCTTATAAACAGAAGTGCTGAATCATGACTCCACCGGTCCCTCCGCCCGGCCGGCGGGAGCCCCCGGGCAGCGGCTGCCCAAGGGATGCGGGGGGTGCCCGGCGCCGGGCCGCCCTGAGGGGCCGCGGCCGTGCCCTGAGGGCGCGCGCGCCCGCCCGCGTGAGGCGCGGGGCGCGCACTGTGGCGGCGGCGGCGGCGGCGGCCGCGCTTGTCCTGTAATCGATTGCCGAGCGCGCTGAGCGGCCTCGCGCCGGCTGCGGGCACCCGCCCCCCGCCGCGCCGGCCCCGCCGGGGCTGAGGCGCCGCGGGGCGGGAAAGGGTCTGGAAGGGGGCAGCGGGTGTGTGAGTGTGCGTGAGGGACTGAGTGTCTCTGGGATTGAGTGGGAGTGTGCGAGTGAGATTGACTGAGTGCGAGTGAGGCAGCGAGTGTGTCCGTGTGAGGGACTTCGAGGGGAGAACTGTGAGTGAGTGAGTGCGTGTCAAGGGCTGAGTGTGAGTGAGAATGTGTGAGGGGCTGATGACTGTGTGTGAGGGACAGAGTGCGAGTCCGTGCGGAGGGGGGACGACCGAGTGTGCGGGAGTGAATGAGTGTGCGTGGGTTTGAGCCTGAGGGAGGGACAGTGTGTGTCTGAGGGAGTGTGTGTGAAGGAGGAGGTGTGTATGGGTGTGAGGGAGTGCGCGTATCTGTGAGGGAGCGGGTGTGTGTGTGTGTGTGGGAGGGAGGGAGTGCGCGTATCCGTGTGTGAGGGAGGGAAGGGAGTGTGTGAAGGAGGGAGCGAATGAGTGGTGTGTCTGTGTCTGTGTGTGTGTGTGTCTGTGGGAGGGAGGGAGAGCGGCCGCCGCCGCCGCCGCCGCCGCCGGATCGGTTTCTCGGGGTTTGACCAGCTGTCCCAGGCTAACCCTCTGCTCTCTGAAGATGGAGGAAGTAAAAACAGGATTACCCTTAGCTACGGCTCCTCCGCCGCCTTAGTCCCCCCACAGCCAACTGCCGTGCACAAACACACCTCCACTGGGCAGAGGGAGCCGACACTAATAAACACACAAACAAAAGGGGGATGGAACTGACTCACTGCCTGCGCGGCTGAGGTAAATCTGCGCCTGGCTTCTTATTATTTCTTTCTTTTTCTTTCTCCCCTCCCTTCCTCCTCTCCTCTCCCTCCCCGTCCCCTCTTTCCCCGGCGGGAGGAGGGACAGCTCCGTTCCGGGGCCGGCGGGACGCGGGGCTCGGTCCGTCCGTGCGGGTCTATGTGTGCGGAGGGTCCCCGAGCCGAGCGCGGCTGTGCAGCATCCCCGCGGGCGCCGATGACTTGTTGCTGTTAGCCCAAAATATAAAAATAATTTAAAAAATCCAAAACCAACCAAACAAAAAACCCCCCACGAAGACAAAATCAAAAAAGCAGGGGCAGAAGCCGCGGCGGGTCTCGCCGGTCCGTTACCCAGCCCGGCCCCGCTGCCATTTCCCTCAGCGCCCGCCGCCACCTGCGCGCCCCCGGGGGGCTGCGGCCTGCGGCGGGGAGAAGGGGGAAAGGGAATAAAATGACAAGCGAGGCAGGACTTCCATGACTTTGACAGGTTGTGGCAGGGGCGGGGAGAAGCAGGATGAGGCGCGGAGCCCGGCGTCGCCCAGGGCCGGAGCGGCGCTCCGGGGAAGTTGGCCCGGGTTTGCTGCGCGGGGTGTGAGTGCACCCGCCGAGCCCCCCTCTTCCCATCCCGCCCCGCATCCCTCTTCCCATCCCGCCCCGCATTCCCTCCGCTCCCCCCGATCCGTAGAATCCGTGGAATCCGTAAGGAACCGGTGGATCAAGTTTTCCTCTCTCTCTCTCCCTCTCTCTCTTTCTCTCTCTCTCTCTCTTTCCCT